GGAGGCCTTGCTCAGTGGCTGGGTGGCCCCAGGGGAGGTGAACATCATGGTGGAACTTGCGGAACAGGAAGTGGCTCACCTCGTGGTGGTGGCTGGGAAGCAGAGACAAGAGAGGGTGGTACCCCACAGCCCCGTGGATGACACATCCCTAGTGACCTTCCACCCCCAAGAGCCCTGCTCCCCTATGAACAGGGCCACCAGCTGAGGACCAAGCCTTCCACACACAGGCCTTCCGGGACTCTTACGTTGGCACTGGATTCTCGCTTCCTTTAAAGGAGAATGGAAAAGGGTGGCTCTGAGAGAAGCCCACCCCTGTGGTTGGCATGGTCCTCCTGGCTGAGACACAAACTCGTGGTGCTGTGTCCCTGCTCCCTGACACAGCCCCGCAGCCAGGACAGCGTAGGGAGGACAGCGTGAGGTTTGACTTCGCTTTCTGCTTTTCTATAGGAAATGTCATTTGATGTAAAACAAATGGGAACCCTCATTTGGATATATCTCCAACTCTGACATTTCTTCAAGGGCACCATGAATTTCTATCTCCTTGACTCAAGGAGACAGTTGGCAGGGTAAGAAGTTAACTTGAAAAATATGAACTTTCTTCCTTGCCTTTTGGCTTACAAAGATGTGAAGTGAGGGCCCCCATAGGAGCAAGAGCCCCAGAAGCCAAGGAGTTGAGTGTTAAGCCCTTAGGCTCTGTGCCTCAGGTGAGAGAGGAGCTTTTTTATTTTTTTGCTTCTGTGCAGTTCTGCTTCTTTTTAGTCAGATATGTGTGAGGGAAGACGGATGTGTAGTAGTTTGTTTCCCCCCCACTTCACTCCTTCTTAACCCAGTGGGAATTCTATTCCAAAGTGCAGCCTCTCCCTTTAGGTCTGCTACACAGTCTCACTGTCTGTCTAACCCAGGGGCTAGAGGTACTGTGTGGTTATAACCATTGCACTGACTGGGGCGAAAAGGACTATGGTAAAGATTGTAGCGTTGATTGTCCTTAGCGTTGACTTCAGAATAAAGGTTGTGAATCAGGGCCATTTACAGAATCACTAAATAAAATTATAATGAGCACTGTTGGAGTAATTATGAAAAAGAGACCTAATAGATCCATTCTGAAAAGTTTAGTTCCAAGGACATGACAGAACCCCTGCTGAAGTATTAGTATCCTACAGAAAGACACTGGAGTCACACTATGTTTAAGAAAAGCATCCACCAAATTGAGGATGTTTTTACCCTGCACTAGCTCCTTAGGTTATCTACCTAATTACTGCCCTCTGGAGTACACCAAGGAAGCCTGGTTGCATCTGATCTGACTGTCCATGGGACCTGGGAGGATGACTGCTTCTCCTTAACTGACCATATGAATTAAGACACATCTTTATTTCTGGTCCTTCCTCTGACGGGTTCTTATTTAATTGACGTTTAGAATCTTTGGCATTTAGTGCCCCACGCTGAAACCAGGTCTGTCCCTTATCCAGTCTGTCTCCCTTAGGGGTTGTGCATGCCTGCCCAAGGAGATCTCATTTTCTAGTGAAATTTTGTGGTATCATGTTGCTTCCAGGGATGCTCAGCTGGGAAAAGTGGGAGCGAAAAAGAGCACCTCAGGGTCAGGAATTTTCCTGATTGCTATGGGTTTCACGACATGTCACTCCCTTCTCAAAGGAGAAAAGCCCCCACTCCCACCCTGGGAAGAGGGCAATCATTCTTTTTGTCTCAGATTTCACTCCTTCCTCCTGATACACATCCCTGGAAGAGAAGGGTAGATCATGTCCTCCACTATCAGGGCTTGTGATAGACAGAAAATGTTCTGCTTCGTAGCTGTTCAGTTATCAGAAATTATATCTGTGGGTACCAGATGAGAAGCAAGGGAAATTCCAAGTATAGTCTGTCCAAGAGGGAGAAAGCAGATCAACTTCTCATTTCCAGGTAAGAGGGAGTAGAGACCCCATTTGTGTTTCTGTTTTGTTCGTTTACATTGCGGTATATATGATTTGTTTTTCTTTGAGCGCTGAAAGTTCCGTAGAGAGATCACTGGACATTCTCTGCCTGGTGGCATGGAAAGGTTTTCAATCTAAATATTGCTGGGTGCGCTTCAGAGCCTGCTTCTTTGGCAGAGGTGTGAGCTCTGAGTGATCAAAGCAGACACGGCAGCTGTCTTGCTGGCGTGGATTTGTGCTGGGTAGATGGCTGATCAGGTTTCTGCAGCCAGCAGCTGCTGGTTAGTTTGCCTTTTGGAAGTAAACTTGGTGTGGTGTTTATGAAATGTGTGAGTGCATTTAAAGAGGCACGGCGGCTCAGGGAATTAACACTGTTTAGGATGCAAAGCCAAATGCCTTGTATCTAAAGGCAAGTATGCTTTGCCAAGCAGAAAAGGCTTCCTGGAGTGAGCACCCCGGAGCTGCCTTGGAAGCTTGCTGCCTCTTGACTTCATCTCTTTTCCCTCAGTTCTCTTGCCCAGGCTAGTGTCACCCTTGTCTGCATGGCTCCGGTTGCTCTGGTTTTCTCCAGGGACCCTGCTTCTTCTTACTGGTTCCAGTCTGCACTGTCCTGGCTGATGATGGGAGAGAATGCTTTCCAGTTTAGAGTGTTCTCCAGCACCATTTCACTCCACTCATGAGAACCACCTTCAGCTCTGTCTCTCCTAGCTTTCACTCAGCCGACTGACATTGAAGGCGTCCTCCTCTGCCCTCTTCCCTCCCTTGCTGTACAGTTGCACCTGCCCCACACCCACTGCAAGAGACCTGCAGAACCCAATCCTCTGCTCTGGACATTGTCTAAGTAAACTGCTTGCTTACTGCCCCCTAAAACCTGCATCTTCCAGGAAACCATTTGATTCAGGAAGCACTTTCATACTTAAACACCATTTCTCTTAAGATTGCCAAGACATGCCAGGCTCTAACTCATGTGCTGGGGCTTTTACTATTTTAGGAACCCCGGCAGGAACTTCCCTAGGTAATTTATGCGCACACCCCTACAGCTCTTTAGAGTAGGTGTTGTCACCTCCATTTTACAGATGAGCAGACTGAGGCTTTAATTAGCTTGACTAAGTGTAGTTAGCTTGATTCAAACAGTTAGTGAAAGGTGGAACCAAAAATACACACCAATTTCCTCCCTCTGAGTCCGGGGTTCTTTCCACTGACTCCAAGGTATTGCGCCTGTTCCCAGGCTGACTGTGGAGGTCTTTATGAGTTGATTGCTCATTACTGTTCTGGATTTATCCTACTACACCAGCTAAGATTGACAGGTAGGATATTTGATGTATTCTTGTGCCTCTCACCAGTCTCTGGGGATAGAAAGCCTTTCACCGTGGAAGTTGAGTGGTCAAGTTATTTGTCAAAGAACCCAGGTCTTTGCCGCTGACACACAGGTACAGTTATTTCCAGCAGAAACATCAGTCCCCCTGATGAGTCCCAATGATGTCTGGCACACAGCAGCTCTCAGCCAGAGCAGTTGACAGGCAGAGCATTAAATACAAAAACTCAGTCGCCCATCTCCTCTGAGACATCCTGCCCTCCACTGTGTCCGTAGGTTCTATGTCAATACAGTCAATGGACTGTGGATTGGAAATACCCCAACGGAATCCCTCCTGTGCCAACACTCACAGACCATGCTGGCTATCATCCTTGACAACACTGTGTAACAACTACTTACATGGCATTTCCATAGCCCTAGGTTGCAAGTATTCTGGAGATTAGAGGGCACAAGAGGATGTGCATAGGTTCTGTGCAAGGACTACCCATCTTATACAAGAGGCTTGAGCATCCGCAGATTCTGGCACCTGGAGGGGTCCTGAGACTCCTGGATCCTGAGGATGACTGCACTGGGTCATGGCTTTGCCCGTGTGCAGCATAAAGATCACCCAGTGTCCCCTGGGGGTTCTCTCCTCTGTGGTCTTCTGCAATTATGTGCACCTGTTTTGTGGCGCTAGGACATTTAGAGGCCATGGGCACCATGGAAAAATTGTTTAGTGTTACTGCAATACAATGTGCTGTAGCAGAGTCAGTGTGGATGCCCTTTCAAGTAAAAGCTGTATGGTTTTTCTGAGTGCTGTGTGGTGATCCTGCAAGCCGCTTGTTACACCATGAGTGTGGGCAATTTAACCTGGGCTGCAGCTGGCTTTTTAGTTGTTGTCTCTGGTGTGGGTGTATGTCAGTTGTCAATGCACAAACAGGACTGCTAAGGACTATTTCTATGCTGTCAACGATCGTCATTAACCCTCTTCTGTGTGAGTAGGGGAGGAAATGGTTACATATCACTGTCCTAAGTGAGGACGTGGGACATTCAAGGGCCTAAAACGTGGACAGGGCAGTCAGTTCAAAGCAAGAGAATGCATCTGTGGGCCAGAAGAGAGGTGAGCACAAGTCTGTACTCGCAAGCCGAGCTCAGGTGATGGACACTGTCTCAGCCACTGGTCCCAAGACCGCTAGAGTGACGTGGGTGGCAGTATGGGTGCAGAGCAAGGCTGCCACTCTCAGATATGTAACCTTGGGAGGTGGCCTCCTCTCTGAGAGACGCTTTCCTGTCTGTATGCTGGAGACTTCCGGGGTGTTCCCTCGTGAGGCTGCTTGATCAGCATGTAGGCCAGTGCTCTAGCGTCAGGAAGGGCCCACCGGGATTGGTCCCCATCCTGCGGGTGCTCATTGGATAGGAATCAGCAGCAGCAACACCAGCAGGCAGCAGACTCCCTCCTCTAGCACGGTTATGATAACACCTATGCAGAGAAAGCCCTTCTGCCTGTCACACCAAGCCCTGCGTGATAAATGACACCCACATTTCTGAGAGGGGGATTGCACCCAGATCTTAACTAGATATGAAACGTTCCTGCCCAAATCCCATTACCCATCCTGGAGAGCTGTCCCGCAGCCGTAAAGTCTGGCTTTTATCCCAGTGTGAGGAGAGGGAGAGATGCAGACGGAAGTGCAGTCTGCAGAAGAGGGGCAGTGGGAACAGGCTTCCGCTCTGAGCGAGTGTGCAAAGTGGGCTGACAGATCCACCTCCCTTTTGTCTTCCAGCCGCCACCACACAGCCGAAGCGGAAAGGCCACTTCTCCCGCTGCCCCAAGCAGTACAAGCACTACTGCATCAAGGGCAGATGTCGCTTCGTGGTGGCCGAGCAGACGCCCTCCTGCGTGTAAGTGAGCCTGCCAGCTGGCCAAGGGGTGGTGCCCTCCCAGGCTGGGCCTCGGAAAGCCTGAGCTCACCGTGCCATCTGTCCACATGGCCCTGCCCGGCCCTGCCAGGCCCTGCCCTTAGCTTCTTGTCCAAGGCCCTCTCCGAGCTGCTTAGAGAGGGTGACGCACATTTTCCCGAAACACGAGCGTGGGAGCCCGATCCATGTCCAGGCTGGGCTGTCCTTGCTGCTTTGGCAAATGAAGCTGATTCTGTCCAGGGTTAGGATGACTTTTGGCTCCAGTAATCTCCCGGGTGGTTGCTATGGAAACACACTCTGCTGGCAGTGTTAGGAAGCATGTTGTTAATGTAAATATGGAGGAGCTGCTGCCAAAGTAAAAGCTACTCCTGCAGGTGTCAGCCAAGTGCGAAGAAGCCAGCTCCGTTTGTAAGCAGAGCCTAGCACTGTGGGGACCCGGAAAAAGTTCTGCTTGCAGCTCTTTGCAGAGTAAAGGTCCAAGTTTACTTTCACTCAAGCACACACAACTTTAGCATTTATGCAGCGCTCATTTTCTGATAAAAAGACATCCTCTAATGTACTGCCGGGTTTTGTCAGAGGAGCAAAGTGATTCCTCAAGGGGATTCTTTGGATCCGAAATTCACAGAATGGTTATTTTCTCCTATACTTTCTCCAATATACATGTTTTTCTTTAAAGCTCTCAGTGATTCCAAGTCTCATTTTGTGGGAACTTTAGAGGTGATGGGCTTCTTCAAACTTTACTTATGTAAAGTTCATTTTGTGAAAGAAATATGCGTGGGTCATTCTTAGAAGAGAGTAAGAATTGCTACTGTAAAATAGGCAGGAAAGTGTGTGTGTATGTGTGCTTGTATGTGTGTTAAGAAAGATAGAGGTGATAGATATTTCATTTATTTACTGTGTTTAAAATATGAGCACCCTTTTACCCAGAGCCTCTCTCTAACTGGTCTGTATGCCTGCACATCGACTGTGCTTTAATACCACTGCCCTGGGAAAGAAACCCAGAGTGTGTGATCTGACAGCTTGTCCTGTGCGCAGGGAAGGTAAAGCTCACTTCCGGAGTCTCCATCCTTCCTCTATCCTGGCTTAACTTTCCAGCTGTGCCTCTCAACTGTTCCGCTAAAACCCTCTACTTCTTCACTGGTTATCGTGCGAGCTCCTCTCACAGCTGGGAACTTTTCCCACTGATGGTTTAAGGTGTAGCCTTAATCCCAGCTCTTCCAGGACCCATGCTCCTCCTCCACCCTTCCTTGTGGTGAGGTGGATGCTCTTGCTCCACCATCTGGTCACACTTGCAGACAGTGCTTACCCACTGGAGGGAGGTTGATGGTGTCTTTAAACAGCTGCTCTGACTGCGTGTTCACAGAGGGAAGGGCTCCTTCCTGCTTATTCCTGTTGGTGCGCCAGTGCCGAGCAGAGCCCCAGAAGTTTAAGAGGTGTGCAAGGAACAAGCAGGTTCCTGTTTTACAGTTCACCCAGACCTCTGCTAAATTTCAAAACCAAGGCCTTCGCCAGAGCTAGGAGCATCTTCCTTGCAGCAGAATGATAGAGAATCAATGCTGACAGCGTGACACAGGGGTCCAGGCACTGATTCTAGTACTGCTGATGTCTGATGGTATATTGAAAGGAACAGTTAATGCTTACGGTTTTTTATATTCTGACCAGTTTTGCATGCTTATATCTGGTGATCTGAGCAACTGATTTGAAGACATCAATATGCAATGGAGCAACTATTGGTGAATTCCCACCATCTTGTCTAGTGAAACTCTGTATTACCTCTAATGTTTTATCTAATAATTATTTTTTATTCTCTTTAATGGTTTAAACAAGCTTCCATTCTTACATCTGGCAATCTGAGCAATGTAGTTGAAGATAACAATATGTAATATAACAGCCACTGTTAATTCCTATCATTTTGTCTTGAAACTCTATCTCCTTTAATGTTCTTGCTTTACTTTGTTTGTGATGCTGGTATGCTGCTATTGTTCTTTTTTTTTCTTTTACTACTCTCTTTAAAATAAAAGAAAGAAAGGAAGGAAGGAAGGAATGAAGAAAGAAAGAGAGAAAGAAAGAAAGAAAGAAAGAAAGAAAGAAAGAAAGAAGGTTAGGCTTTGCTTTTACCCACTGTATGCAGTGCCAGCCATAAGGTTGCCTTTCTCACATTTTTTTCAAAATCTATAAAAGGAGATAATAACACTGTACTTTCCTTTCAAGACTTGGAGATTAAGTCTAATAATAAATGCAACACAACTTGTGTATACTGGTCCAAAACAGAGCAAGCATTCCAGGACTATGTCCTTGGGACAGGTAGCAGGTTATTCCACTCAGGCCTGGCCTACCCAGTGGCTTGGTGCCACGTGAAGCTCAGGCCAACTCTTTGCTATTGGTGACAGTGCCATTTGGGGTAAACAGAAATGTTCCCTTTACCTGGCATCCCAGGAATTTTTGGGCTCCTTTTACACACATGCATACAAAATGTGTGTTGAATAATTCATATCTTCTATTAGTCTTGTCAGACTGTTCTTGGAAAGTGGGTAATTTGTATATGGATAGGTAATCTTTAATAATTTATGCAGAACAGTTCATCTATAGACTGGGAGCCAGACGGCCTGTGCTGGAATCCCTGTCCCATTCATTCCACTCCTTGGCACTGCAGTTTCTTCATCTGCTGCCTGAGGTCCGCACCAGCACTCCTCTCAAAGGTTGCTGTCACAGAGCAGTTGATACCTACACATTTCTACTGATTTATGTCAGGACAGTGATTGCAAAGCCTAATTTTGCAGACTGTCAAGATGCATGGACTCCTTCAAAGTTATTTTCACTTTCAATTTACCAGACCTTTGTTCAATAAACATTCAGTGAGCACAAGGTTCTTGCTCCCCCGCCTCCTCCTCCCTGCGGAAGTGGCACTCTCTGAACATGGCCAGCAGCTGACTTGCTCATGGTTGGCTGAAAAGTGAATGTCCCAAGGGCCACCATAACTATGTGAGGATCAGTCTCTTTGGGGAGCTTCCTGGTTACAGCCTACAGGATCTGTGGCTCACTGAGAAACCCAACTGAAGCACTGCTTAGCTGCTGAGCCAGGGTGCATGTCTTGTTACTTTTCTCTTGTTGCTGAGACAAAATACCTGATGCCCAGAATTAAGGAAGGAAAGGTTGATTTAGTTTACAGTTTGTGGAGGTTTCAGTCCATACTCAGCTGGCTCTGAGGCAGGGTGGCCCATGGCAGAGGGCAACAGTTCATGGCAGCAGAAAACAGCAAAAGCAACAAGAGCAAAAAAAGGAGGAGCAGTGGCTGGAAAAGCAAACCTCTTTCCCTCTCTTACGTTGCATGCAAACTACCCGCCCCAGGGCAAGTGTAGCACTCACATCCATAATTCTAACATTGGACCATGAATCAATCATAAATCTAGAAGCCTGCCCATGACTGCATGAGGATTTGAGGGGACATGCAGACACAAACCATAACAGTGCATAATTTGGAAAACATTCCAAAAGTGTAGCCAGGAATTGTGCTCTTCACTGGCAAAGCTATTGTTCAAAAATGCCGTATTTAGTGAATTTATTAAAGAAATGTATACTCTAATTGAGAAGGCTGTATTTGTAAGATTGAAATAGTCTTTTTTTAATATCACTTTTTTTTATTTTAAAGAGAAAAACACTAACAACAAGGAAGACAAAAACAAAAACAACAAAAACGATGCGTGACCTCAGAACAAAATGATAGGAATTAACAATGGTTGTTGCACTACACACTATTAATTTCAAAGAAGTTGCTCAGTCCACCAGATGTAAGAATACAAGATTGATCAAACCATCAAAACAATTTGTCATAGCTAAATCTTGGAGACAACCCAAATGTCCATCAACTGAGGAATGGATAAAAAAGATGTGGTATTTTTATACAATGGAGTATTACTCAGCTATAAAGAAAGATAAACAAAATACATTCTTAAAGCAACTCTTGAAAACATCTTCCCATGTGCAATTAAAAATTATCCCTCTACAGGGGCTGGGGATTTAGCTCAGCGGCAAAAGCGCCTGCCTGGCAAGCGCAAGGTCGTGAGTTCGGTTCCCGGTACCGGAGAAAAAC